TACTATACGCTGCCAATCACATTCTAGTACAAGTGGGAAGTGGTCAGACCACCGCACGTCATAATCCACCCAACACTAGTAACCGCCGGTAACCCTGATTCAGTTACGACGCAATGATCTAACCACCTCGCACGACCATAGGCTTCGCTTACAAAGGTATACGTGTCCGACTCACCCAACTTCGTCATGTCCACACATGACCACTGCTGGTCTCGACAGAAGTCCATTAAATGGTCATAAAACAGTTCATTTGGATGAGCATTAAATCACCCAATATATAAACAGAAGGAGTATCATTATGCTCCTCCATTACAGAACTAATTTTACTTAAACATTGTGTGAACTCGGGTAAATTGTTGTAAATTGTCGGGTTTATGACATGACAAATAAAATACGTTGATTGACATACAAACTTTATTTGCATAACACGATGCAATGTTACTTATCGACACTTCGCAGTACAATAAATAAACGCAAAAAAAAAACAATTTGGTCCATTACCGAATTCCGAACTAGCTGTCTAATATACAAATAAAAAAATACTGTCTTTCTGTAATCAACAATGATTTTATATTTTTTATATTTAGAGCTCTCCATATTTTTGTTTAAAGAAAGATTTCCTACCAGATGGTCAAGCCAATAGCTGCCATAATCATTTCGAAGAAACACAACATACTACAATACATATATATAATATATAAACTAGTTTTGATTAATACATTCCTACTTGCCATCCAGTACCGAAACATATGTACAGTTTGTTAAAAAATGTGGTAGATAGGAACTCAAGCGCAAACATATGTTCTAAATGTAGACAAATTACATTGTTTTCTGTGAAGTCATTAGAACAAACCAAATGAACTTTATTTAATATTGGTCTGTTTTGCTTTCTTGAATTCCTAACTCCACATTTTACTCGAAAAATGCTGATAGTACAAAATTCTTTCACAATAGAGCTCTAACAATCAACCGAAAATAAAATGAAAACATACAAAAAATCAAGAAAAAATATGGTAACAAATTGTGATCAAAAGCAAAGCGGAAGAATAAAATATATTCTCATGATATTTATATAAGGCGAAACAGAACAACAAAACATTATTATATTTATCACTTACAAAAAATAAACAAACGCGTATAGGCCTCTTAATTATTTACAATAAACAATCATGAGATTGTAATGACGAGCGCACCACAAACTTATACAATCATCATCATCAATATAAAATATAAATGTTACCTAGATCATCTACAAAAGATCTAGTGTGAGTAATCAGATAAAATCGATGTAAAAATCAAATAATTATTTTTTACTTCTTTCATTCAAAGTAGTTACTTTCCTCTATAATCGTTCATTTAATAATGTTTTTATGGTCAATTTGCTCAGCAGAGCAATTGAGTAGTTAGTCATAAACTCCAGATGGAGAAAGTGAATGTTCAATTTTATATTCATACAAATAAGGTTGGTAGTGCTGTGTGCCTGAACGTAGTGTTCATTCATTTTCACTAAGTGTAAGTAATAAGTTTAAGTACTCTACAGCTAGATACAAAATTGGTCAGAACGTGGTTGATATGAACGCGACCTACTAACCTAAATTAGACTATGGCGAGTCATCCACAATTCTGAGTAAATTTTTCTAACTAAACATTTCTATCCACCCTGTTGGCCAATTCTCAGGAGACGCTCGAGACTAGGAAAATGTTCAATCGTAGCTTCACAGTCACAATAAGTATAATATCACTCGATAAAATCGTTTTACTCTACGACATATAGTAGGTATCTATCATACATCATTGCAACAAAACCATCGTAGATTCTTTGTCATGTAAATATTACCAAAAACTAGGATTGAACTGGCTCCTGTTATAAATCATTAGAAAGGTATAATTGCAAATTATAGCGTCTCCTTCGAAACTACAGAGATCTGAGCCTACACTACAACGTGATAGTCATTTGTTACGACATTTTTGAGAAGTACACAAATCTTTGAGAAATATGGTAATAAATTATGTCTTTGAGTTTCCCAGAATGTCGTAACAACATCTTAATACCTTACAACCCTATGTTTTATCCCTATGGAACTGTGGATGACACCAACGAAGTAAGCTACACAGTAAAGCTAAATATTAATAAGATCAGCTGAATACTGCTTTTGACTAAACACACAAACATTGGCGCCGCACATCAAACATTTGGCAACGCGTTACATACAAATAGGTATAACCAACAAAAGCCTTCAAGCTTATAGAAGTTTCAACAAGTATTTAGCATTAAATATCACAACATATAGCAAATTAAGCCGTATACATATAGAAGCTAGACTTTAGTTCCACGACACAAGTGACTGAGGTCTACGAGCCAAACTTAAGAGTAAAAAATAACTTATTTGAATCAAATACTGATGTTATTCTCCAACGCACTGGACGGAAATTGGCAGTGACTGACGAGATTAAAATTAATTTATTATGCTCACTAAAGTCTTTTAATTACTAGGCCTAGAATAAAAAGTGACGCTGGTGTATATGTCATTGAAAATTATCATCTCATTGTCTAAAGCATCCACGTCTAAGGATCACGTTTAAAGTCGATGTTAATACATGTCAAGTAACAATATGTACTTACAAACAAAAATTACTCAAGTAAAATGCTGTTTTAGCTCAATTTCAATTAATAGTGTTATTGTTTCATTTCATCGAAAAGCAATAATGCTGATACTAAAATAAAAACAAAGAATTTCAATTTTATTGCAACATTTCATTACCTACATGGAATAATTTATATTGAATTATGCAGATTTTTTTAAACTATATCCGATTCAATATTTACGAAACATGCTGTTTCAAAATAAAGTAATTTGCAGTGTAAGTAAACATACTCGATTATTGTTTATTAATTAGTAAAACGATACACCATCACGCCCTATACCCAGAAAGGGTAGGTAGAGATGACACAAACCTACTTATCCTTCATAAAATAAAAAATAATAAATATTTGTCTTAAAGTTATCAAAGTCTTTCATAATCAGTGCTATTCAGTCACACAGTGTCGTAGAACTCGGTCCATAGAATGCCCTCCCTTCACCCTCCACGATTGTAATACTGGAGCCCTATACCCACTAATAAATCTTCAAAATACACTAGTCTTGTCCCTCCTCAGTCTTTCTTTGATGAACGAACGTTTTTACTTTATACTTTTACTCCAAATTACATTTTAACACGCTTTTATTAAGGTCGTAATTAAAGTGCTGTATATTTTGGAAGTCGAAATTGACTGATGTCTCACGGCCTGTTTTAATTAGCTATTGGTAGATTAGACTACCAGAGATTGATTTGATATTCTTTATTTCAAATTTACGTCATATGTCTATATTTAGTCGCCAAATCTACCAACACGTAAATTGTTACGACTGTACGTGGACTGATTTGTAACTTTTTATGAACATGTACAAATCGTAAAATACTCTTTTTTAATCCCTTCTATCAAGTTGAAGCGCATAGAAGCGTGTTTTAGTCATTCCGTTAATTTTGAAACTATCATTTCATTTTGAACCAACTCTGTATAAAGTACAAATTACAAATTAGAAATAGCGAGTTAGTTATAGATAAAATACGAACATTTTAAAATAGCTGCCTTGATTTCGTTATTTTATTCACAACCACCGACTATTCCCACGTTCAAATTGATCTCTAAGAAATAAACTGGAATTAATTTCTAACATTAGGGGACCATTTTCAAAAAGTTCATACTTGCAATAATTTCTTTTATCAAGTAAGTCTTATTCAGAAGTTTGACTCTTCAAATATAGTTCTATATTTCAAGACACATTAAACTACAGTTGGCCTAATGACACATTTCCTACTCCTTTCAGAAATAAAAGACCTTTTATGACCAGTCTCATTAACATACCTATTAATAAACCTATTAGGGATGAGAATTTTAATGTATGTTTTATAGTAGGTACTTTAAAATAAATATTGTGAGACATAATGAATTAACTAAAAATAATGGTTTACATGTGTACGTATGTTGTGCGACGAGGAAGAGTCCGTCTGTGACTCGAAACTAGTAAAGCTGTACTCAGTATATTTAGATGAGTAAACCGTTATTTTTAGTTAATTCAGTACTAGTAGCCATATTCGTTAGACTAGTACTACTAGTAAGATCACATGATGATAAGCAATTGACGTTGCCCGTGGACACCCGCAACAACAAAGGTACGACTGCGTTGCCGGCCTAGACTTGATGGATGGGGTATTTGGGGATTAGGAATGAGTGATGGGGTACAGATCCACTCATAGATAGGTTACCGAGACTGGTTCATAAATTATTTTCATTCTTATACCTACATATTTGGCAGTACTCGACCCAACATATACAAACAAACGTAACCTACATCATACTACATACAATAATTTCTTTCGTTATTAGTAAATAATTACAATGTCTTTACTTTTTACACTATTGCTGTCCTTTACCGATAGTAAGGGGTAGCACGAATTTACAGAAATAGGTAATTAAATATTTCATTTCAACATTTATAGAATAAATTGTTCTAAGTAGTTGCGAGCTGTTGCTATCCATTTCTTTTTTTACTGTTAGTAAAAGACAGCATTATAATAAATACGTAGTATATTAGACAACCTTCTATACCTCAATTTTGTTTTTTTCACTAAGCCGTGAAATCATAGAGCGATATTAGGGAACCTAAACTGTCGCTGTCTCTATTTTATGCGAATGTTAGAGAGAGAAAGATGGTTTTGTTTGGCAGTCGCTTAGCTGTTTACAAAGAACAATAGTATTTGTGTAGAAAAAGTAAGAAATTGTGCAATTATAAGTGGAATAGTTACAGAGGTTTATGTGTGGTAGTACCTGCCAATCTCAATAACTAATCTGTAGGTAGATTCACGGCCAACAAAAATGAACAGATTTCAATAAAAAAAAAAAATATTAAGATCCATTTTCGACCTTTTTCTTTTAAAAACTTGTTTCAATCTAGGATTTTGTCTTATGTCGTGGTTATTTGCCCAGCCACTGTGTTAAACGTGAATAAGCCAAAAATCTACAATTTAGAATTCATTTATTATTTTGTTCGTTAAAAATCTAGAATTTTGACACAATCTGTAGGTTGTGTAAGTTTCACTTATGTCAAAATTACTTTTCTAATAAGCAAATCAACAGACAGACATGCTATTAAGATTGGCTATAGTGAATTTTGTTATGAAAAACTTTATAACCTTTATACCAATTTGCCAAACTTTATTTGACTTTCAACATTATTGCATTGTTATAAAATCTAAAATGGAATACATAGGTTGATAGTTTTGCTGAATAGTGACCGAGTTTCCTAATCAACATTGTCGATTATACATCGTCAACTATGCTTTTGGCATGTTCGACTTTTAAAAGGTAGTGTACAACACTTTAATCGGATTCTCAACCTTATGATATTGCAGTAACACTGATAATCTATTAAACAAGCTTTGACAATTGAAATAGCTGAATCTAATGGCTATTATAAAGTTATTTATAACAAAACCAGCACGGGTCAATATGTTAATGTCATATATTGTATGTTTATACGTAAATACGGTATTTCAACAAAGGTATGATGGTATACAAAAATAGTTACATATGTATTACATTAGACCATGTTACTTCGGAAGATTTCACGAGGTAATAAATATTTTTAGCTGATATTTTTTTAAACTGTATTAAATACTTCTTCTGGTTTGTTTGAGCGTTCTCAATTTGAAAATTTTACAAGACTTGCCAACTTCAATTTACAGTTCAGTAAAGCGATTTTAATTCGTATTGCGTTAGCGATAAGACGATTAGCAGCTGCAGCCATTAATTGGTAGGTAGTATAAAAATATTTTTGATTGGCATTATCATCTTTATGTCAACAAATTGGACTGGATAAGCGGTAGGTTGCGATTTTAAGTTATCTTGCGAGATTTTCAAAAAGTACGATCGTTTTTAGTGGATATAGAAATGTATAGAAATATAAACCATCGTTTCTTGAAAACTAAAATGAGCCACAAGCATATAAATATTTTCAATAAAATATTTTTTAATGTATGTATACTGTAAAATATATCCCTCAAAACGTATTATAAAGTAGTTTATCATGATTTTATTTAGAGAGCCTTAACATTATACCATCAGCTAAAATTGGTTATTTAAAAATATATTTCTTTATTTTCTCGCGATATTACGTCACGTGTGATGTAAATATTGTAAACACCAGGGTAACAATTTGTCTTTTCAGAGTTCCCTATTCAGATCAACAGAGCAGTCTATACGAACACAGGTGTCTCGACAAGACACCTGTAAGTCTTTTCAACGATTCGATACGCCTTCCGAATCAATTCGATATTTTGTAATTTTATCGATAAAACTATCGACCATCACTATAATAGATAATTACTTGCTACCTCATCTGTCGCGGGTAACGTTGATATGTAAGCCACGAGAGCAGTGAGCGTCCGAGTAATATCAACAACTTGATACATTATGTTGCGGAGAATGACAACGCACGAACAATGTCGATATATTTCTGGAATCTGTCAATAAATATAGTTAAGTAGGCTACCGACATTGCTCCAGCGATGTAAGGTCCACACGACAGTCTAACCTGGACTTTTATAATTCAACACAATTTCGTCTACCCCAGCAAGTTAGTAAAATACTTAAAAAATTGTGCAAAAACCTCAACAAGCAGACAAATACGAAAACAATCTCTTCGAGAATGGTCATTGGTCAAACCATTTTCCATACAGGGTTACTAAACATAAACACATGAGAACTGTCAACGTGTCAATACTTACAGCTTAGAGTAACTTATAGTTAGCGTGGGACTAGTTCAGGCGATATTGGTCCGTGGCGACATGACTATGTAGTGGTGCTCCATCGGCGCGGGCGGGATGATCGGCGACATCGGCATGTAGTCGTTCTCCACCTGGTCTTTTAGCCGGACCTTACTCATCTGCTCGTGGCCCAGGAGGAGGTCCACGATCTGCTGCGGGAGGGTGAGGGCGGCCATACTGTCTTCTGTCAGTTCTATGGAGAGGTCGGCCTCATACTCGAAGTCATTCTCGAGGCACTCGACGGACTTAGAGCATCGGTTGGGCTGTACGTGGTCGGTATCGTCGAGGAAATCGCAGCTCTTGGTTTCCCCCTTGGCGAGGTTGCCGGACGTGATCTTCAAGTTCTTCATCTTGCGACTCACCTTGAAGCTCTTGAATATGTCCCGCGTCGGCGTAAAGTCGAACTTCTTCTTTTTAGTTTCGACGTCTTTGTTCTCTTTGGACGTTTCAGATTTTTGCGAGCCAGTGATGCGGGAGTCGCTTTTGAGGCGTTTCCTGGGACCAAAGAGTTTGTTTGAAGTGAATGTTGTTTAGGTAGTAAAGGCAATAATTACTGTGATGTGTGGTATAGGTACCGGAAGACACTGAAGGGTTGTCGCTTGGGCAGCGTGTTGGTATGCGAGGCGGGGCCGGGCGGGCCGGCGGCGCGCGGCAGGGAGCCCAGCGACGAGTGGCGCGTCACGCTGTGCGCCGCGCCCCCGCCCGCGCCCCGCGCGCCCCCGCCCACGCGCGCCCAGCCCACGCCCGGCTTCAGAGTACTGTACAGATAAACAATACATACGTTACAATGTGTCTTAATACAGATTTTTATATAAAAAAAATCTAATATAACTTTTACGCATTCATCATCGATACTGTAAAGTATAAAATGGGTACGTACCTGAAGGGGTGTCGCGGCGGTAGTGGCGGCGGCCTGCGCCTGCGCATGGTGGCGTACACGCAGTCCCCCACACACTCGTACGTCGGCTCCTCCGTCAGGGGGGCGCATAGAGCCTGTACAAACATTACAACATACAATATTTATAAACAATCATAATTATTTAAACTTAAAATTAAAACTATATTTTTGGCTGTACAGAGTTACAGACCAGATATTGTTGTTAATCACTGTAAATTGATTCAAAACAAAATTTATTAACAAATAGACGATAAATGTTACCCTAAAGACGCCGTCAGGTACGTCGCAGGTGATGGTACAGAGCGCGTTGGTGTTGTTTCCCTCCGGCAGGTCGGGGATCTCCTCGTAGATACCAGACGCCACCGACAGTAGCGAGCGACGGTCCGACATACTACACAAACAATAACTTTAAAATAACGTTTGGTTAAAAACTATCGCGAGACATGCAAAACTAAATAATTAATAATAACAGTTCCTCGCTTGACCTGCTACACACGTAAAAAACTACTAGTTTCAAGTCACAATGGGACTCTTATTCATGAGCAGCGTACGCAGACGCTTAGTAGACGGGCTCGTATCTTAGTTATTTTCAATTAACTCGGATTTTCATAGATATTGGAATGGGGAATGTATCTTTTAATAAATCAGCGAATTAACTGCGATCCTTCTGCTGAGAATGGGGGTTAGGGTCATTAATAGGGAGATCACTTGTCAACTGACATATTCCACCTGACTTTTAATAGTTAATATGAAAATGAACACTGGACATTAAGGCAAGATTTGTAAGCTTAGTGGTTGTGTAAAATGCCTTTTTTTTACAAATTTAATATTAAATAGTAAGAACTAAGAAACCGGTACATACCTATCATCGAAGGAGGCGATGGATTGAATGTTGAAGGGCTGCGCGAGCGCAGTCGCGGAGGACAGCTGTCCTTCGCCGCTGTAGCGAGACAACTGACCTACGGGGATGTGCTTCGACTCCTGAGTGGGGAAAACAACATATTTACTCAACATGCCATACATCTTTGTAGAACAACAATACTCATAGTAGCACATCAACCGATTCCAAGCTATCAAAAACTTTAATATATACTGTTTTGCAATTAAGTCGAAAATCTATTAAATGAAAACTTACAATTTGTAGCTCGATAAGCTCAGTATTTATACTTTACCTTGTAATTTTTAAGAGTGTCAAATATTGCTTACCTTGGACATTACAAGGTCTATGTCATCCAGGGATACTTCAGAAGGGCCGCTGTACCAACTACTGCGGCGGACGTCGCCTGGAACCAAAGTAATAATATAAATACACTTCCTAACTATAACTATGGTTGAAAAGCTGTACCTTGAATAAATTGAATTTCTTTCAAAGTAAATAATATTATAGACAGCAAATCAATATAATAAAAGATTTTACTACCCGACCGAAATTAATAAAACCGATTTCAATGCAACATAGATGTAGATATTTGACTTAATTTGAGTTTCGGTCAAAAACCTAGAGTGATACAGATATTTTGTTTGAGACCGGTCATTAATTTCGCTCGTGTATGTAATTTATACCTACAATCCTTTTGAAGTGAAAATTCATTTGGGAGGCCATGTTGAACAGGAGATGTCTTGTGGCAGATATGATGATGATGATAACGTAGAAAACATGGCTATTTATAAGATTTACCCATATGTGTGTCAGAGTAGGTATGTGAGCGTAGATCTCCGTCACTCTTGCTAAGTTTGTGCGGGGAGCGAGTAGCGCGGGGCTCGCGGGGCTCGTCCGTGGCGGGCAGCGCGGCCCGCACTGCGCGCGCTAGGGCCCCGGCCAGCGGGGACCGCAGCCTCAACTCACCACCACCGCTACTAAACGCACTGAAACATTGCAAATACATTACTAAGATTATATAAGAAGTTATTGACTTGTAATAGTAAATAATAGTTATTCGATACGCATTTTGTTTCTCTCAATTTTAACACTATGTGAAAGAAATATGTTTGCATGACTATATTCAATTAAATTAAGGTCACTTTATTTATCTATCTTATGTACTTCAATAAGTTCTACCCACCAGTATAATATATTTTCTACTCAAAATTATCAGAATATGTAATTAACAAAATAATTCTATAACTAAAACCTTTAATGTAACTGTACTTAGTCGCATCAAAGCGTAAAATGTTAGTCGACATGAAGTATGAATGAAAAAACCTAGTAAATATGATTTTTCCTTAATTAGTTGGAACGAGTGTGACGTCAATGCATTGAGCAATAAGTATTAGTATGCGGGTGTCTACTTGTGTTCTCATTTACAAACAATATGAATAATTTGTTTGTTACTATGTTTACTCCTGTTGTTGTTTTAAATATAAGGAAAATGTGTTTCTATGGAAAATCATTAAAAACATTATACTACCTTCTATTTTATAAACGTGGAAAACAACTTGCCTGTATGATAAGCAAACTGAATATTGCTTTTAAACATCTTTCTAAGTATTAAAAATCTTCAAAATGGTTGCTTTATTTAAAAACTCTATAAGTTATGCAACGATATAACATCAAATGTACAATTTCCAATAAGAAATTAATGTTTTTCCGACACGCAAACACAAAAACTTTCGACGTCCGATCATTTAGTAAAAGAGCTCGATTTATGAAAGTGACAGGCGTTTTGAAACTACGGAACGGTCGTGGGAAGTAATTTATTATGCATTGAATTGTACAGTGGCAAGCGCATCAAGCTAATCCTTTCTGTCAAATATCTTTATTAGACTTTCAACTTTATCAATACATAGTATAAAACAAAGTCGCTTTCGCTGTATGTCCGTATGTATGCTTAGATCTTTAAAACTACGCAACGGATTTTGATGCGGTTTTTTTTAATAGATAGAGTGATTCTTAAGGACCTTTATTAGACTTTCAACTTTATACGTTATAAAACAAAGTCGAAAATATAATGAAACAAATTGATAAATTGAAGAATGTTGACCTGCAGGCCACTGTACGTATTCTTTGTAGTTTTCAAACATAATGTAATTTTATTTTCTTTGGCCAAATTGCATCATGTTTCCTTTCATGTCTTTTTTGTTATAAGCAAAATTTCTCAACAGGAGCGTCGTAATTACCGCCATTTAAAACTATACGGTTTGTTTTTCTGTTAACTGAGGCAATCGATAAATAGATGGGAGGCTTCCTGACTCAGTAAATTACAAATATTATTGCATTAAGTTCTGCTAACATGTTTTGTTAAATTAAATTTACGACTACATAATTAACAGCCAATATTAAAAAAAAAACTTCCACAAAAATTATCAATTATTGTAAAATGAACCATAAATCGGCGTGCATACGAAAACACCAACCTATCGACAGTGAGAACACAAGTTCTGTTCTTATCATCATCGGTGAGGCGCACATCCCTGATATGTTTCCACTCTAGGAAGGTGGCGAGTTGCGCACGCGCCACTACCACCCCCGCCGACGTCAGGGTCACCACCGTGTCGGCGCTCAGGCCGCACTTACGGGACAACTCAGTGGCGACCACGCTCACCGAGTATGAGTCTTTTAGCAATGGCTCGTTGTCTGAAAGATGAGAAAGCATGATGTGAGGGCGACTTCGCATTATGTCAAGAACACGTTACAAGTAGTTACTGCATTGTTCGCAATACGCTTAGGTAATATTCTGATGATGTAACTCAAAGGTGGCTATTGTTATCTTAAGCGAGTGTTGTAAACAACAGCTGTTGTATTGCACTCGTCTAGACTATAAATCATCACTTCTATTACAGATTTTTTACTTCGAATGCAAAATCGCCCTCGGGAACATTAAACAAACAGCCAAATGATAATGTAATTAGTATGGAGATGTTTTTATTTGTTACATGATATGGAACATTGTAACACAGATCTAGTACAACAATAACATATAGATAACAAGGCACATGACCGCGAGCGACATTGTAAATAATGAAACAGATGGTTAATGTTCAAACCTGTGAATGGATGGCAATGACGTTTACTTAAATAACAACAAATGTGGCAAGACTACACCAATTCATTTTAAGTTCAAATTTTAAAATCAATTTCAATGAGTAATCCCTATAAGTATAAAGAATCTGTAGTCTGGACACTGGATTAGTGAATCATACTGGTCATATTGCCAAGAAGGATAATCTAGACATATTTACACATAACACACAAACATAGATTTACTGTATGCTTGAAAAAATATCCACAAGAAGAAGAGCATTATAATTATAATGTTTTAAATTAATTTACAATGTAGGTCAAAAAGTCTAGTGGCATCAAATACTGCCGTAATGTGTACCTATGCCGACTCCTTCAGGGAAAAAAGGCGTAATGTAATATTTGTCAAAAAGTCCAATAAGTTTGTTTAGCAAAAGCGTTAGTAGGTGACCCTATTACTCACTTAGAAATAACTTAGTACAATGTGAATGTAAGTGGCCGCAAAATTCATTTTTTTATTTTATGGAATAGGAAGCAATTGCGCAATCGGATCACCTTGTGATAAGCGATCAGCGCCGCCTTTGGACACCCACAATATTAGAGGAATAACAGCAGCGTTGCTGGCCTTTTAAAAAGGAATACACTCTTTTCTCTTTTCTTTATTCTTACAAAAATTGCCCATTATTTAGTACAAAATAAAATACACTAACTTATCTTTACTTGTAGCAGTAAAGAACAGTTAACAGGAGGCCAGTTTCATAATTAATTTAATTGCAAATTAATTGGAGGCCTGTCAACTTTAATTCATTAAGCCAAGACCTTGGCCCATATAGGTAGTTAGTACTTTGCACAATTCCACTGAAATGCTACAAATTATGACCTCAACAAACAAATTATATAGGTACCTTCGTACGTACACTGCAGCAGCAGAGTAAAATAGACCATTGTGTGTAGATATTACAATTTTAAATAGGTTTGGCGCGTTTGCATTCAATGTGGTGACGTCAATGGCGTAGATGCAAATTTTAGGCCTTGGTCAAAACGAATTTTGAGTGTGTGATATGAATTCTGTCCATTTGAAAACTTCCTCATTATATTTGATGACGTCTAACGCGCAAACTTTTACAAACAAGGGTCAATTATGTAGTCAGAACATTTTGATAAATTTTCCTCATACATAAAAATGTTTATATTTAGAAAGTACAGTCATCATGTCAGATAATAGAATATTTACGGTAAACAGTGTTATTTTGAATTATATAGTAACATTATTATATAATTCGAAATACATTTCACATAACATAACATCACACCTTTTTTCATCTCCGAAGGGGTAGGAGTAGTCAGAAATACATTTCAATACATACAAATACATTTATGATAGGTACACCAGCACCCAGGTGTACACAACTATAAAAAAAAATGTATTCTGGCTAAGTTATGATATTTTGTATATCACACTTTTAATGCAGTAAAAGTCTAGAAAGAAAATCATGTGTGTTCCTCAAGATGTTCTTCAAACCAAAAACCAGCATAAATATTTAACAGTTTTAAAAGCATTATTAGCACATTGGAATGAATGAACTTTGCTCTGGTTATTTATGAGTGTGCGGAGATGAATTTAATTCCCAAAATAAATTGAATTGCCTCCATTAAAGTGTGTTGACCTTGTGTTCATCTGCATACAATACACATAAATATATGTACTAGCTATATTACCAGTACCAGTACCATTGTCAATCAAAACCTACATACAATATAACCAAGAGTTTGATGACTCTTAGCACAAACTGTTGAAACATTTGTCATTGGAAACATCTAAAATACAATAAAAATTAGGCACTATGTTCACATACAAAATATGTTTTGTATTATTGAAGAGTAGTTCTATTATAGTCACACAAATTATTTTTATTTTACAGCGAAAGTTAAAATGTTGTTCGTCTTATGGTTTTTCAAATAAATATGATCCTGGCCTCTTTTCTAAATATGTTTGACTTCATAATTTCTAAAGATAATGCTGTTTCAAGAATTTGTTTGATACTACAATAGAGACTATACAACATTGGTTTATAATTAATAAGAGAATATTGTGAATGGCTTTTTTAAAATTAATTAGTCTATGTAATAGGTTAACCAATTAAGATGTTAGACTGGTTTAAAGACTAATAACAACTGGTTGGTTACATGTGAACTATATTTACTAGTTTTCTAAGTAAACCATGTATCTAGACCAGACACATAAATAATAATGCATGAATAACTAAATATTAAATAAATTTAGAACTTGAGACACACTTTTTAGAAAATACCATGTAAATTCAAAAAGGTAAATAAACAATGTTTTGTGATATTTTAAAGTGTGTTAGTATGTGAATATTTAACTCAATTTTGCAAAATATGTGCAATAGTGACAAGAATCCTGTGTAGCAGACAGTGGTGATGAGTCATAGTCAAGCAGAAACATCCGAATCAAATTAGAAAATATGAGGCAGTCTTGTAAACTTACCAATCAGCATCAAAATAAGAATATATTTATTTGTATACATAGATAATTATATTTTTATTAACATATCTAATAGACCAATGTCAACAAACAAGTACTCAAAGAAATACATATCCAAGGTTGAAAAGTTAGGGTGTCACAACTTCAAATTATTGGACTTTGACCACATGGGTAAATGCAAATAATAATGAAGGTAGACTTACCCAATATTTTACTGCCATTCAACAAAGCTCGGATCTTTTCCATCCAAACTTGTGTATCATGAAGAGATTGTGCCGCCAGCAAAATGCGAGGCTTTCGCGGCTCGTCAACAGAGAATACAGCAAAGGCATGTGGCCGCGTGCGAGATTTGGCTCTCTTTACTACGCAACCCAAAGGTAACTCCACCGAGCCCGCTGAAGCACCTGCCTCGCTGCAGTACACCGCCAGGGAAGCCCCCGAACAGGTCGGACTCGGTCTCAAAATACACCATTGTCTTTTCCACGACTGTCAATAACAAAATAATCAATGCTACAATGTTGTGATACATCCAAATGAATAAATTAATCTACTACGAAGCTTACCTTGAAAGGATTTAAGCCTAAGTTAGATTTGAACGGATACTTTATTTCCAAGTATCCGGACATAATGAGTTTTATGTTTTTACAGTGTATGAAACATGTCTAAAATAAATAACTTGAATTATAAACACGCGATGCACATGTTCAACCAAACAATATTGTTTACAAAAAATCATAGACAAACAACAAAAATAGTGATTGGTCGGTTATTTAAAATCGATACTGAAACCGGTTTTTCGCAACGACAGATTTATTTTTGTTTATGGTATATTTTATAATGCACTTCGTTACACGAAATTACATTTACATAATAAAGAAACTTAAGTAATAAGTAACAATCAAAGTAAATGGAATGTTTGAAAGCATTAAAAATGAATAGAATGTGTCGAAAACTAAAATGATGAGTTGCAATCTCGTTGGCTTATCACTAGTCGACATTATTGTCGTTGTCATGTCACTCTCGTCTGTCAGTGTCAAAGTCTTCCATCCATATCTTCACCTGACTTCTGACTCGTAATTTGTGATTGAAATCGATCGTGACTATTAAATTTATGCGAAATTAAATTATAAACGAAATCGAAAATAATTAGGGATTTCTAGAATAAATCCACAAACATATAAAATGAAGCAAATTCTGTCAATCCTCTTTACAGTATGTACATTTTCTGAAGTGCTATCTGCTGTAAATCTTCAAGAAGAGGAAGTTGGTAATGGTAGATATTCTATCGAAGGTAAAGTCTTTCCACCTGAAGAACAAGATTTGTTACCATGGCAAGTTGACACCCGCGTGCACGTGAATGGTGGTGAATACATAGGTTTCATCAGAGACGATGGTTCATTCGTCATACACAACGTCCCTTCGGGTTCGTATGTCGTTGAAATCTTGCATCCTGACTACATGTACGAGCCAGTCAGAGTCGAAATCAACTCCAAGGGGAAATTCAGAGCAAGAAAAGTGAACTACATTCAAACATCCCAAGTTATCCAAGTGCCATACCCATTAAGACTGAAGGCATTAACTAAGTACAGGTATTTCCAGGTTAGAGAACAGTGGCGATTGACTGACTTCCTGTTTAACCCAATGGTTATCATGATGGTGTTGCCACTACTGTTCATTATGATCTTACCTAAAATGATGAATGACCCTGAGACCAAGGAGGATTTGAAACAAATTAGCAACTTGGCGAAGATGTCGGACATGCCTGAAATGTCTGAGATGTTTACTTCATTGTTCAGTGGTGGTGCTACAGCCAAGGCTTCAGCTGCAAAGGCCAAACAAGTGAAAAAGAGGCAGTAGCAATGTCTAGTTGAATTATTGATAAGTATTTATGATCAATAAGTTATTGATAATATGTATAGTGATGTAAAAATTAAATAAATTGTTAAAATGATTTGTGTTTGTAATTGCAGCACCTACAATCAACAAAAGTTATGCCATGTCAGAACAGAGATATTTGTTAAACCATTGTATCTGTCAGTTCCAATTGGAGCCAGGTGTATGTTTGTAAATTTTTTCTTATTGTATTCTGACTAGGTAGATTACTGTATGCAGTACTACTGAATGAAATGTCAATAATATACTTTATCAGTGTGAGATTGAGGAGAGAAAATAATGACTTTTGACACTGGACTTGGTGACAATGGTTACAAGTTCCCCTATACTTATTATCTTTGGTTACAAGTAAGAAACATCTGTTTGGTAACCTGGATCACATTGAAGTATTAATTTATTGAGTTTACAACCAACCCTCACAATAGCAATGAGGAATTTTTTTTCTTTGATGCCATAAGATAACATTTTTAGTTATTTTTTATTTTAAGTGTTACCCTGTGTAGTTACTTTTTTCAATGGCAAAGCTAGTATTTAGGTATCTTCCTTTTTGTTATGCTCTGCAAAACCCTGAATTTTTGCTAAAAAATCCAGGGCTGTTATGATCGGTGAAGCTTTTATGGCCATATATATCCTTAGGTTAGATTTCTATCTGATGTAAAGCAGGCACATACAAAGACAAATCATAATAAACAAAAAAAAAAACAAAATGTTATTTTCAAAGGTTTTATTTGGAAATAAATCTATGACAATAAACCACTCTCCTACTCTACAGAGAAGCTTTGTAACAACTTAGGAAGATATTACACACAAATACATAAAGTAAAAAAAAATCAGTCATTGGTAATTTGGACGGAAACTACTTAAGTAACATGCTCACATAGGCATATAAACATGAGATTCTCTTTATACATATAGTAATATACTTTTTTCTATATTATAAATTTTGGACGGTACATTTTGTACACAGTTATAAAATCTAAATGCTATCGAATATTTGCTGTATGTGGCACGACAATACATAATACAAGAAATAAATAGGTACTCTTAGTTACCACAATAATACAAAAACTTAATACTAATTAAAAATATAATTACAAATCAATGTATATTTTTCATTAAAATATTTCCAATAAAATTTGTCATACATATATTGTCTTTTGATAATGTTAATAAGGCATTATGATTGACATTTGTGATATAATATTGCTTGATTATTTATTTATTAAATACAAATATTGTAAATAGCAATCAATATTTTTATCTGAGAAATTATATTCCATTCATAATGATGTTTCAAGTCTAAAATGTTCTTAGTATAAAATATAAAACTTTATGGTACATTTATTTGATGGTGGTTGCACTTTCTCTTGCAGCCTGCACTACATTATTGCAGTTCTTAGTACTACTACAAACAAGGACTTAAACTACGATATTTACACACAATGTTGCACTTTGCCTTCATATAAAAATATAAATCAAGGCAAGGACGCATTTAATGCTATTACATCATCACAAAATTTCGCTCTTTTCAAATTGATCCAAATAAGTTGCAGATTTTGATATGCATGGTACAATGGCTAGATTAGTTTAAACAAGACATTAAATTAATATCAAGTTAAATATCAAGTTGGGTAAAGTAAAATAAAATGCTGACAGCACCCTGGAGAATAGAAATGGAACAAAACGAGATTCTATAAATGCTAAATCTGATAAAAATAATTACATCATTAACTTTCCATGGACAAAGTGAATTGTTCTTGGACGAGTTAAAAAAATATTACAAAAGGTTAATTTGTCATTTGTAGACATGTATTGCGGCGAGACAAATAGACAACAGACAATATATTTATATGAATAATATTGTTACTACAATATATTGTACCAGCTTGATGTCATTAATCTTTTATTAAATAACCTATGGGTTCTAACTTGAAAATAAAGCAATAATCTATTTTCAAGAGAAAAGTTTGCTAAATGGCATGGATGCAAAAAAAAATTAATCGGATTGACTGAACTGGTAATGGGCAATGCACATATAAAACGTATAACACCGCAATACAGTCTAGTTTTGCTTAAACTACGATGAACACTTGCTAAACTAACACTAAATATTGGAATGGAGAAAGGAATAGAGGTTGAACAGTTATTTATAATGTTTCATGGAATGGGAATATAACCAGTTTATGTAAGGCAAGTTATAAATACACTGAGCAATCAAAGTATATTGGAAGACCTGAACTTCTTTATTTTAGTTTGATTTACTGAAATTATATTCAATGATCTGTTCAAATACTCAAATGTCACTTAATTTTAGGTACTCTCAAGTAAGTTCTTTTTTTTTATTATGGGCAGACGTTTGACCATTATCTCGTAAGCGATGATTCGGTCTACGATGGAGCACGTCGTCCCATAAGCAACCTATTCAGTCGGGCCTTGAAGACACCCAGGTTATACCCTTAGGAAATACAGACTCTGGCAAAGAATTACACTCCTTAGCAGTATGCACAAGGAAGCTTGTTTAACCCTACAAATTTGTTTTTAAATGACAGAGATATTTTCAGCATTCGATCACAAATCTTATAGAATATCATGAACGTAATAATTCATTTAACTCGTCGAGTACCGGTTTTGTAGACACAATTATAGAACAATAGGTTGCGGTCACCGGTGACCGCTTGGTATTTGACAGTTTAAGAGTATTTGTACAACTACTATACAACTTATTTGTTGTAAAATTATTTAAACTTGATTTTCCTCAACTACAAGGCAGTTGTTAATATCAGGCATTTTCCTTACAAATAAACTGGTTTATGTCTTTATTTCATTACAATATATATCTAAACGGTGGTTAGTTTGGGACCTAGGTCACACATAGATCACAGGACCTTGGATTAACTTTCGTGTTTAAAATTGTGAATGTTGTAGAAGTCACTTTAGGCATTTTCAATACCACATTTTCGGATATTCAGTATTAGAATTGAACCTATAAAATACATGATCCAGTGGGTTTCTAGCTGCAGATAGCATGAACAGCTGCCAGTACAACTCACTAAAATTAACTTTTTGTGTTTTTTTTCGTCACATAGCTTACAAAATTATTCATAAAAGACTATTTAGAGATTGCTTACCAATACATACATTTTTATATAGCTGCCCGAGTGATTCCGAAATACATTTTAGTATATAAAAATACTTGTATTCAATATCAATTTCATAATTTATCACTCATACTATTGTCTATTAGCTTATCATTTTAGCCAACATGCAAATAATTGCTATTATATAAAAAAATCATTTATGATTTATTTGCTCTTGAAAATTTGTTAATAATTAATTGTATACAAACTATCTACATAATGAAGGTTAGCTTCTTGCAATCTTTAAATGATTTATTAACAGAATGACTGTAGAAGTAAAATCGGGTACTTGTCTCCCGGACAAGAAAACCAATGATATTACAAATGGTAAAGGTCACTGGGTACAAAGAACTATATGCATTTAGAGTATAAATCTCTGGCACTAGTGAAAAAGGATCTAAGTTTAAAAGAGCAATTTTACAGGAGACGCAGACGAACTCGAGTATAATTTAAACCACTACATAATAAAATACATGTGATGTGATTTTTATAGATTAACAGTGTCAATGATGAAGCATTTTTCTGATCATTTTGGTATCATCAAATCATTTTTGACAAAATTAGACTTAGTACCATTTTCACTGGGGTCATAAAAATAGTCATTCTGTTAATAAAGCGTACAGTTTTGGTATTCTATTCCATATTTTGTCGAATATCGATTACTTGTACATACCTATGAGATTCCAAAGAGAGAGACTTGTGGTCTTATGTATCGCGCTACAGTAAATAGAACCGCTATGAGGAGGAGTGGAGTGGCGAGGGTTAGGTGTCGCGCGTTGTTGTAGATGGCGCAGTATGGACACTGAGAAGAACCACACACTTCGCAAATGTTAAGGAGATACGTCGGCAGAGCGTCGAATATACTTTCGTTGAAACGTTCTGTTGGTTGAATTAGATAGTAAAGAATCTGTACATTGTACTTCAATTATAGAAATGAACTATGTAACAGAGGCTGATTAAACCTAGAAAGCGCCCTAAGCAAGCATCTCAAAGGCGCCCCAAATATTTTTGGCGTCGCTGCCACTCAATGAGCAATTAGACATATGCGTCTCGCGGCGCCCCTCTATAACCTGGATACCTAGATACTCGCCTAGGAAATTATGGTTCTGCTATGGAGAATATTATGTTAAGATTTATTTAGAATGAATGTACTTACCGGGTGCATAGTAGTCGTAGACACGCATCGGTAGGTATCGGGACATGTTGGCGACCGGGAACCAGCGCTCTATCGTAAAGTTCACACACGTAGGCTCATCAGACAACTGTGTAAACATATGAAGTCTTAGTAAAGGCTCTTTTCTACCTTCATTTTTTATGGTTTTAGTGGTAAACCATGTAACACCTGAAGTTCGGAACCAGCATTTTAGGAATTGGAGTTTAGGGAAACTGGGTAAGGAGGTGTGGCAAATTGGGCCTCCGATAACCCTACTCGTGACGAAACAAATATTTAAAAAGTTGAATATTTGGCATAATGTAAAAAATGTAGCACTTACATAGTCGAAGTAGAAGAGTATCTTAGTGGGCAGATACTTGGCACGTTGCAGCGTGGGCACCTTCCGCGCCAGTACGTACGCGTCCAGCTTCTGTTGTTGGATCATGTACCCGGTCGGCACGCCCACCTCCAACACTGCCATACCGGACCGGGGCGACTCCTGGGTCAACGTCCAGCTGCAAATACAAGGTTATTATTATGGAAGCTTGTTAAATTACTAAACTGCCAGCTTATGAAACACAATAGAAAATTTAACGATGGGTTAACTATCCAATAAACAAGATTTGCTTTTTTTTTTCTTTATTAGCCAGAAATCAGAAATACACTGCTGCCTACCTTAAGGAGTGACCGAGTAGTCCCTAGCATAGCAGGCGGTTTTAGGATTGCAGTTAGGTTAAGAAAAAATTAGAGGACCACACTGACCAAACTCAGGTCCAAATAAATTATAGTAAGTATAATATCGTAACAAGTGAAACAAGTGAATTTATTTCTGCAAATAGGCTACAAGGAAGCACTTTTACACGTCAATTTTATCAAGCGAACGATGAGGTCGACATTTCCTAACTGACTACTCTGAGAAGAAATGCCAAAACAAACTCAGAGGTCCGTATCTTTTAAAGTCCAGACAAATATGTATAAAAAATTATGTGTGAGAACCGTGCAAGTTCTTTCTGTAGTGGCCTTTTGAGGAAAGAACCACAACAGTTTGAGCGGACCCGATCTGAAGGCAGTACGCATGTGTCGGTTTACAGTCAGGTCAATTAACAAGACGTACCTGGCACAACCCTGGAACTCGATGTGCGACTGATTCCTGCCGTAGAAGTGGTGCGAGGAGACGAGGGAGAAGCAGTTGACGGGCGGCGGCGTCTGGAAGCGCGCGATGTCCACGTTGTACTGCACCGACATCTGCAGGATGGCGTACCCCGCGCCGCGCGCCGTCACCTTCACCGTGCCCCACGCCTCGGGGATCTATACAGTCGCACATGTGTAACGAATACTTTTAACAAAATATGAACGTGGATAAGACACAAAAGTTAACATTTTATCAATTTGAAACTTTATCACAATATTAATAAGTCGAATTTAGAATCATTAGCAAGGGTTGTGTTTAGATTGTTTGTTCTAACTTAGAATCATTTTTGAAAATTGTGATTTAGTTTTGTTAAAGTATTTGCATGCCAAATTTATAGGCGAGATATGATGAACTAATGTTATGTCATAAAATCTGTAAACCACCATATTTCAGGCAAATAAATGAATCTATCTATCTATCTATCGAAATTTGATGTCGATAAAAAATGTGCCAGCTTTTGTATAATTTACAAGCTTAAAAGGTCTTTCTAAAACTACAAATAACTTCTTATGTTTCATTCATACTGAAATAAAGTGGTCAACGACCCACAATACAGTTAGCTCTTGGTCATTCCATAAGACCAAGACCATTTGGTTCCTCGATTCCAATACATAACAAACATCACCACCAGCCTGTAAGAGTCCCTGTTAGACTACGAACTTTCTTTATAAAAGCGCACAAAGAAAGAACACAATAATGATTAAATAACGACTATTTAAGTAAACTAACTGATGACTGTTGATGAAGCAAAAGAGGTATGTAAGAATCGTAGCAATTGGCGATCCATAGTATCTGCATGGCCGTATGAGAGACAGGCGTGAGGTAATGTATGTAGTAAACTAACATCAATGAACTGCATGACGGCGAGGTTGTCGTTCTTGACGTGTAGAGTCTTGGTGTCCCCGTTGAGTGCGACGGCGTCGACGCTGACGGTGAGCGACGACACGTCGCGCAGTCGCTTGCGGTTCGTGTACTCGATCAGGGCGCGCAGGGCTATGTACGTGTCCTGCAGGTATTCAAGGAGGATAAGTCATTGCTGATGAATGTTTGTATGTAATTATGTAGCTTACAAAATACTGTCATCTGTGACAGATTTAGAGTAAGTCAAAGAGGTATATTAAGTATAGGGGAAGAGTACGTAAGTCAAGTTTGGTATAAATATAAACAGTTACTGCAAAGTTCACCAATTTGTCATTACAAAAGGCATGGCTTTGTTGAATAACAAAAAGAAAATGGTAGAATATAGCAACTGTTTCTGGTTCAAATCAATATTTAACTACTTGGCTGAATGTACAAGAAACATCTTGTATTATAGGAACAATATAGAGGTAGGTGAGACTATATTATAGACCTTAGTTTTAATACTTAGAGACTACTTTTGTATAAACAAGTTTAGTTACAGAATGGTACCAAAAAATGACATAAAAACACGAAATTAACTAAAATATAATGTAAAAAATCATTACAAGCACACATTTCAATTATCTGTCTTGAACTGACCTGTGTAGAAGCCCAGCCGCCATCTTGCAAGCGTTGAGAGTTAAGCCACATGACTATAGGTTCATTGTTGTCCTGGTGGTCCATGCAGGCTAATAGTGCGTACGCCGTGGCCGCGATATTGTTGGAGTCGTACTTATAAGGCAGGCGAGGTAGGAGGAAAGGTTTCTGGTTCTCCATCTTGTAAGGAGGCTGCGGTACTGGCTCCTTACCCCAGTAACTTAGACCACCTGTCAAATAGAAGTTTATTAGAGATTAGAACTTAGAAGGAACATTGTTTTGAGAGAACACGTTCACGAGGGTGAGTGATGTTTTTTTTTTTAAGGGGGGAAAATCATCGAATGACTGCTCCCGCCTGGGTGAGGCGGGAGGGAGTGTCAGACTCTTACTGACTAAAAACCACCCCGTTCCTTCTCCTGCCCCGGTTACCCGTTAGGTTCTCCGCGTGTGAGTCATGTTTTAGTACAAATGGGCCGGCTCAACCGGTATGATACTGTGGCCTCATAAAAAATCCAGCGTAAAAGAACGGCCAGTGAAACATTGTGATCAGTATGACTAAAATTACCGGAAGCTCAATCCTTCCCCCCCCCCCCTCTAATTTCATTCCTCAAGGGCCAGCAACGCATTAGTAAATAAGTATTTTGTTGTTGCATAAGAAAATAGGTAAGAGAAAAATGCTGTTTTCAAACGAGTAGAGATTTTCCCAATTAACTTGAATTATTTTGGGACACAAGTAATAATGACCTAAACCTCTCATAAATTTTAAGCAACATCTTAGTTAGGTGAAACTTAATGACATTTTGGTTCTAACCAACCTCATGAGTGTGTATCGGTAAAAGTAAGGGATTAGTATAGATGCTCCATTGGGATAAAGAATTCTCAAAGTTAAGAAATGTCTTAAAAAAGGCTTTTTTGAAGGGAGAAAAATAATGCAATGGCTTCTCCCGCGTGGGTGAGGCGAGAGAGAGTGTCAGACTCTTACTGACTAAAAACCACCCCGTTCCTACTCCTGCTCTTCGAGTCGGAGCCTCGGCAACCCATTAAGTCCTCTGCGGCTCCGTATCGGCATCAACCCTGAGCCCCACCCGTGGTGGTCTGATGACTGTTTCTTAAAACATAGCATAGTAGTGTCAGTGGTATACCTTCGTAGCGCTGCCTCCGCTTGAGCAGCCTGTAGGCGTGCTCGGAGCTGGGCGCCTTGCAGTGCGTGAGCGCGTGCGCGACGAGCGCGAGCGAGTACGGGTCGCCGTGCTCGTGCAGCACGCGCAGGTGGCGCTCCAACCACCGCACGCCGCGCTGCTGCGCAGACGACACGCGCGCACTCAGGCCCTGCACACAATACACTCTTACACTACACACCGCACGCCGCGCTGCTGCGCAGACGAAATCTCAGGCATAACACAAAGTCTGGAATTGTGCCCAGTATGTAGCAATAGGCTCACCCCCTTACATGGGACTCATAACATAAATAGTGAAAAGTAGGTATTACATTGTATAGTGGCATTAAGTGCCTTAGATAATGTTCACTTCTGCCTACCTCTTCAGGAATTAAAGGCGTGATGTTATGTTATACGGTATGTTCTTCATATACTCAAACTAAATATAAAAAAAGCTGTTTGATCAGTCCAAAGTAAATAGCGTAAATAAAGAAACACGATAATAAATATTTTTAGTAATGAGAATCAATTTCATAATAAAATTGTTTGTTACATGTTGCTAGACACCGATATAAAAATGCCTAGCTATGAAACAAGTAAGAGAACAAAGAATAAACCTGTGTTTGCACTGTAACGCCATCGACATCATTTCTGACGATGGGGCTTAATACGAGTTTATTTTACGTTTAACATGTTAAACAAACACAATATTGGATTCATAATTAAACACAACTCAGAAAGTACAAACCTCACAGTAACAGGAACGGGTACGGGTTCTGATTGGCCGGTTCCAATGAACCAAACAATTTTTTTACTGCACTTTTTTTTAATGTTATTTTATGTTCTTATTGTTTTTTTTTTTCAATGTTATTTTGTGTGTTCATATTCGGTGGTCCATGCCTGGTGGCGAATAAATATATTTTTCTTTCCTTCTTTCTTTCTAATATCACTAAATCCTTACCTCTCTCACTCCAATGTCCTTGAGATTCTTGACAGTTTCCAAAGTGATGATAACTTGGGCAGTCAACGTGATGTTTCGCTGCATTATTATTGAATCATTTACCTGTTGAAACAAACAGATATTCAATCACCATTTATTTTTTTTACATTATTAATAGTTCGATGGTTTTATGGTCTTATTTCTCTATTGAATGTTTTCGACTAGGTTGGAATCAGTATGCTACATGGAAGTATTTGATTATATGGCTAGAAAATTTTGGAACTAAATGAGAAATAACATTATTTTTGTCAGATCAAATCCACCAACCATTAATTAAGTATGTACCTAAATTAACTAAACATTGCAGGTTACTCGTGAAAAGACTGAGAAAAGCTCTACTAGTTTCGAACTACAGGGGGGTCCTTACCTATGAGTCATCGCCTCATGAGTAGGCTGCACGACATCACCGCGACCGCGCACACTGCTCATGAGTAACCCGCGATTATTAGTTAATTTAGTATATCTCGCGATACTTATTATAAAAAGTATGTAGATAAATAAAATAAATAAGTAGGAGTATTACTTCTATAGCAGTGGGGTCGTGCCATCCAGTATTGCTGAATGCTTCTCTATACAGGGAGCTGTTCTTGGGCACCACAATGGTAGCGTTGTCATTCCTGTTCGGTAGCCACGTCACCTCGTAGAACGCACCCTCGGGGGTCTGATGGTCTAATATCCATGACACTGCCATTGATATCACCTGTGAATATAAATTAATTAGCTTTTTTCAGGACACTATTCCTTTTTATGAATCCCGGTGTTACTCGAAATTAGACGAATACCCCGAAATAGTGAATTTTTTTTTTACACTTTGCCGCACATCAGTGTTTTCTCCTGTTTCGTGGCTGCGTTAACAGACATACAAGCTCACATACACAATGAATGACACCCAGACCCGAAACAACAATTTGTGGATCACACAAAGTATTGTTCCGTGCGGGAATCGAACCCGCTACACGTTGCATGGCAGCCGCTTGCCCAGCCACCGCACCAACCGTGCAGTCATAGCAGAATAGAAGATTTAAATAAAAAAAATTACATATGATAAATATATTTTCGACTACAAACTCACGTGTGATTTCTGAGCCAATTCAATTTAATAATTTATGAATACCGCAAAAAATAGTTTTATGCGAATAAACAGACGTAGCAAAGTAGATATAAAATAATATAGAATAATAGGAAATAGTTTGACATTTTATTGTACAAGTTCTTACCTCAGGGTCGATGTAAATAAAGTTCTCCCACTCGTTGAACGATGCATCTTGGAATATCTTCGCGCAGAATGAGGTCAACCATACACTTGATGCAGATTGGTTCCTTATTACAACAAAAATAAATAATATTTCAGTCTATCATAAAATTACTTTTAGCCAGAAGTGCACATTATGAAATAGTAATGAAAAAATCTAATGGAATAGGGGCGAGACTTTATCATCATTTATTTTTATTTTATTTTTCTTTATTCAGGAAATTATCTTTTCATTATCTTTTATAATTGCAATTTGTAATACATTTAGTGATCGTTTTTGGGGACCTTTTTAAGCAAGATGTATGTACCTGTGTTACGATAAAAAGAGAGACTATTTTCATTCATCATTTTAATTCTAATAATTATTATAAACTACTCAAAATATGCTTTGTACTACCCAAGAAGTTCAGCAGATATCCCTTTACTAAACAGTCAGGCTTGTGCACATTTCACCTGCAGTATTCAAGCATTGAATTATCTTAAGCCTACTTACCAGTCACTTCTAAACAAGCTGAAGGAACCGTCAGGCTTCATGAAAGACAGTTGTCGTTGGTAGAGTATGTTCATGTGGTAGAAAGCATCACGTTCCAAGGTTCTATTCCGCTGGTTGATGAGACGCATGTACAACGTCAAGTACATGTTCGCAGCGAAACTGAACATGTTCTGCTCTGCTGAGTCCTGTGGAGATGAGGGATTGTTTCATCGTATGGATTTGAAGAATGGAGTAGATTCGGTAATGTTTCTTTTGTAATATAACTAGTGACCCGCCCCGGCTTCGCACGGGTGCAATATGCATGTATTATACATACAAACCTTCCTTAAGAATCACTCTATCTATTAAAAAAAACCGCATCAAAATCCGTTGCGTAGTTTTAAAGATCTAAGCATACATACGGACATACAGCGAAAGCGACTTTGTTTTATACTATGTATTGATAGACAGTTTACTACGGCCTCACAGAAAAATGGCGTGTGTTAGTCGTAGTGAAAGTGAGGTTACCAGAGGTTCACCCTCTCCTCTCATCCCTAATCCCTGAAACACTTAACTTCTTTGGTGTCGCCAATCCATGCCAGCAATAGGCAATCAATAAAGTCAATCCGGTGTCCATGGGCGGCGCAGATTGCTTATGATTGGTGTGCTCGTTTGCCGGCCTATCGATTTGACATTTTTTTTTATCACTTAACTACAACTACTTACCTCTTATCACTTACTACACGAATCCTGTCATATGTCGCGAAAAATTGCTCATGAAAATGAGACCTTAGCGCGACTTGAAACTAAATAGTTGAATTCCTCGTCAAACAGCTACGTGAGAAAACCGGTAAGCTGGCCTCACGAAAGTATACGAATAGTTTAAAACGACTTACCATAGGCAAATGTAGCAAGCTGCTAGCGTTAACAGGCATGGTTGGGAAGAGAGGTCCGACGACATCGCCGACGACAGATATCCTGGCCTTGTTGGACCCGAACACGTAGTACCTGTCCACCTCGTAGGGAATGATGGGAGTCTCGGTGACGTTGACGTGCATGTATTGGAACACGTACGCTCTGTTAGACAGGTCCAGCAGTACTGACTGGTGGCGGTACTGGGGGAGCCCGTCCGGCTGGAAGGGAATTGTTGTGGTAAGTATGATTGGATTATAATTAATATATTGTGTTTTTTAGTAGTGGGCTGGAGCTATGAATTTTGTCTTAATATCTGTTTGTTCTCCAGGGTCATTAAGTTTTGGATAATGTATCAAAGAGATTGTAAAACATTGTTTTTTTTTTAAAAGAAGTAACAAATGGAGTTTCTTGCTCGTTCTTCTCCATTCGAATCTACGTTTTGGAATGAGCACCTAGTTTCACTGACGACTGGCAGACTATTATTTATTTTGTATTTTTTGACGTTTCAAAAGTATCAAATTATGGTTTAATTGAAATAAACGTATTGACTTTGACTTAGCAAATGAAATTGATAACAGATATCCATCCATAATTTTTGGACTGATGTTTGACATTAATCGTATTTAGTTTTTAAGATTGCATCACTAATTCATCATCATCAATATCAGCGTTCCCGTTTTTTTTATATTAGACAGAGTTTGTATTTGGCCACTACCTCACCCGGTAAGCAATAATACTGCCTACGTTGGACCATATCTACCCATAAGCAAGTTAATCGCTCGGGTCTTGAAGACACCCAGATTATATCTTTCAGGAAACATATGAATGATGAAGAATGATTACCTCGTTGGCCGAGTGGTCGCAACTGCGACTGTCAAGGAAAAGGAAGCTGCCAGGAAAGGGGTCTCGGGTTCGATTCCCGGGTTGGACGGAGTATTACTTTATTTTTAAAAAAGAAATCTCAATAGTAACAGTGGCATAAGTGCCGTAATGTGCACCTCTGCCTCCCTCTTCGGGGATAAAGGGCGTGATGTAATAGAATGAGGACGTAGTTACCAGGACGTGTATGTCCTTGACGTAGTGGTGCTGGCCCATGAGCGTGGCGGCGTGGAGCCGGACGCGCACGAGCCCGAGGCGCGCGGCCACGACGGGCACGTGCACCGTGGCCGCGTCGCCCGCGCTGATGTACACGAAGAACTGGTGCTCGCCGAACGACGTGCGCGGGTTGTACGACCGGACCTGCGATAAATATACACTTGAACATTTGCTTCACATGACA